TTTACACCGTATGTCTGGACGGCCAATCGACCAATTGCCGGTCGCTATATGGCCCATACACGTTGGTGTCGGGCAATGTGGCGCCTGATAGTTAACCGTTCGGATGTGGGGACGTAATATATTTTTTCATTTATTAGGGCTTGTAGGTGTGGATAAAATGTTACGTATGTTTAAAGTTTAATGTATGTTTTTATTTTTTTTCCGTGTATTACTACATTAGTAGTATTCTCACGTAGGTGTGAATAACCTGCTTGTGAAAAATATATTACATCACGAGTTTTGATACAGTTGCGTCACGAGATCTCATGCTTTGAGTTTTTTTTTGTATTAAGTTGGTCATTTACGTACAAGTGGCGTAATTTTAATGGAGTCCTGATGCAGTTTTACATAAAAATTCTTGATGTATTATTTTTTACTACATGTGAAGTGATTTGACTTTAACTCAATAAATAACTAGTTGAGCCAACAATTTAAGAGAAAAAAGAATAAATAAATAATATAAAGTGTATTTAAATTTAATAATTTTAAGTATGAGATTATTTAAAATATTTCATATATTTTTACATCAAGTCATTTCTTTTTTATTCTTATCTTGCATCCCTATTTGTCATGAATTATAATACAAGATAGATGTGAATATGATGGTACATTTGAATAAATTTGTTACATTTTATTTCTTTGTTGATAACCAAAGGATTAATGTTTCTTAAACTTTTTGCCTTAAATTGACAAAATCTATTATTTATGTGATATTTTTGAACTGCTGATCTTTACATTTGTGCCGATCGAACCATTGAGAATTTGATAAAAATGAAAAATATAGGTTGTTATTAATGCCCTTTCTAAACCTTCATGCATAATGGTGGAAATGGTTTATCTTCATTGGATCGTCTTTTTGAACCGATGTCTTTACATTTGTGACGATCGAACCATTGAGAATTTGATAAAAAAATGTAAAATAGGGGTTGAAGTTTTATCATGAATTTTGATATTTGAGTGAGAAATTGAGAAAGGGATGAAAGAGGGTGCTAAATTTGTAAGAAAACAATATTTGATGTGTTATGCATGTAAACATACCTTTAATTAGAGATAATTACATACATAACACCCCCAAACATTACTAATTACAAAATTTAGCACTCAAGTAATATTTTTGAGAAGATCATGTATCAAAGTTGCCATTTTAGAAATAATATCAAAATATTTGAGGATTCCTGTGAAGAGCTGTAATTGATTATAACTACTTCTACTAAAACTGTCTTAGAAATAATAAATTATGGTCTGAAATTTATATATATATATATATATATATAGTGTACACATGAAAATGTGTCCACACAAATCTCAAAGCAGATGGGCGACCTAGAAAGGAAGAACCGATTGAGGGTAGCAATAGAAAATCGTTTCAGGTGAGCAGCGACAGAGAAAACACTTTAGCAGAACGATCGAACAGAGGATGGCAAAAGAAAGTCCCTTGAGACGATCATCAGCTTTCAAAATGATCGATTGGAGGAGGGAGGGGGGGTTGAGGGATCAACGACCCTCATCGATCCAATAGACCCCGGACTTTATTATATACAAACAACCTTGCAAATTATCAAAAAAACCTGCCTCAAAGGTTAACAACTATGGCCTACTATTTACTTTTATAATATTGGGACCTAGACCTATATATATATATCCACTAAATAGAAAATGCTTTACCAAAAATAATAAATATTTTACAAACAGCAGCCACCCCAAATAGGCCCCAAGCTTTGTATGGACCCATTCAAACATACAAGCACATGATAGTGCACTCTAAAAATTTTCCTAAGCTCCACAAATCATAAAACATAAACCAATTTTATAAGCCACATGAAAGCACACTATATAAGAACAAAGAAATTTCTAAAAACTGGAATCAAAACAGGTTCAGGCAATCATACCAATTCCATCAGCAGAGGGTCACCTGAAGCCATGACCTGCACCAGCTTTATAAAATCTGGCTCATTTTGCACCTTCAGAGGGTACACCGCCGGCGCTTTGGCCCTATAATGACTCAATGCAGAACCATTGGATGGCAATTCCTTCTCATAGACAACTCTCGCCAGGGCATCTGAGTCAAAATTCTGCTCAGAATCCATGGCTATAAAAAACAACGGTACAGCAACGTTATGGTGTATATTTAGGTCCCCAACAAGTTCGGCAAGGTCGGTGAAGTCACCGACGAAGCGGCGAGGAACATAAAAGATCTCGCTGCTGCAGATAATGAGTTCATCTTCACTGGTTCCCTTTTTATAACTAACCTGAAGGTGCACAGGGAGAGTGTCCACAACTTTCTTCACCATGGCTGCCTGCTTCACAAACCATTCTGAGCTCTTACTATTGATGGAGACAGACGCCCAAGATTGGGGAACCTGGGAAAAGAAGAAGAAATTATATGGAATGTTGTGTGTATTTCAAGAAGGTGGAGGAAAAAAAAGTTAAGGTCAACAGGGATGGAATTGATTAACTTTGTTAGTAATCCACAGCCTGGACTTGTCAGCCTGCAGAAGATTCCAATAATTAAGAACCATGGAATCCTGAAGAAACAGAAAACCTTCTGCATTATCAAATTGTTGGAATATCCTGGGAAGGTGCCTGAGTCAAAAGAGAAAAATTCAGTTGAAAAGGTGAGAATTTATAGGTTATCTTACTTGGATTTGTAAGTGAGCACCGTGTAAATAATAAATGTCATGGCAATAACTTGACATAAATTATTGCAGACCTAGTGATGCTGTAAATGGGACTTTTTCTGTAATATTATTTTACTGCATAGAATTCCAATGGTTTATGTATTGATCAAGTTAAAAATTTAACTTTTAGACTATGAAGGAAAGTAAAAAAGGAAGCTTTGAGTACAAGGTTATACTTCCGCACTGAATCTCATACTCATAAAGGCAGTCAGTCATGGAAGACAAAATTTAAGGTACTTATTTTAAGTTTTTATGATGGACTTCGGTGATGGTTGATAGAATTACATTCCACTTGTAAAGTTCATCTACAATAATAATTTTCAAGCGATAACTGGCATAAAATCATATAATGGTTTTTTTGATAGAAAATGTAAATCTGCTGTGTTAGTTTGAGTTTAACAAGAGAAAACTTCTAAGATCTCAACTGATTGATCAAGCTACGAGAAACTACATCAAACTTAAAAGTGACTTTATTTAGCTCAAGAGCTCCAGAGAGGATATCGTGACCCAAGTACAGAGAGATTGAATTCAAAGTTAGAGATTATGTTGTTCTGAAAGTTGAATGTATGTGTGTGTGTGCGCGCGTGTGTGTGAAGGTATGTCTATTTAATTAATGGAAAGTTTGATTGAAACAAAGTCTTCATATAAAGTTATTCTGCTTGGAAAGAGAAATTGGTGACTTGTGCAAATTGAGAGGAGATTGATTCGAGAAACTTATAAGGTAAATCTTCATATTAAATTAAGTTAATCAAATATTATATATATATATATATATATATATATTTAAGTAATGTTTAGATAAAATTTACTTGAATCAAGAACTTGAGGTTGGGGAATTATAGTTTTGACATTGAGGGGAGGAAGAGGCATCCTGTGCAAGCAGCAAACCAGATCTTTCAAGATAAGGAATTGCCTAAGTGACTTATATGTGTCAATTGAGTTGTATGTTATTGGATATGCAAGTCTTTCTTTTAGAGTGAGATCCTTATAACTATATGCAGATTTAGTCTATTAAGGTATTAGTTGAAAGAAGTGAAGTGATAGATATTTCAGAGATCTCTTGAAAAGTAAGGTGAGTGATTCTTTTCTTCTATGCATTAAACTAATGCCTGTTTAAAATAAGTTTTTCAGTTATACCTTGCATATTGAAAGTCTGAAATGTCATAAGAGATGAGAGGAAAATAAATTGCATATGAATGTGCATTTTAAAGGATTTTAATTGATTTAAAATGAAAGGTAAAGATTTAAGTCATACAGGATTACCCTCATATAGTACTGACACGAGATGCAAAATACTCGTGCACGTTAAAGGAAATAGTAAAAGTGTACCTTCAGGTACAATTCAAGGATACCTTCAGATACAATTTTGAGTGTGTATTCGGACATATTTTTTAGGGAACATTGAGTACGTTTTGAAAATATCTTCGGGTATAACGGTAATCCTATGTTGACTATTAAAAAGTTTAAAAATGATAAATAAAAATGATAAATTTAAAGTTTTAATAAAATGAATTACATTTATTTTGATCATTCATACATAACATAACATAAGATTTTAATGTATATTATATTATAATTGCTCACTAATTTATACTAATAGTTGCAATTAATGTTTTCTTTGACAAGAAGAAAAATTTTAGGTTGATATGTCTGATATAAGAGATTTGATTTACAAAATGAGGACTGCAGCTGATAGATACTAGTTATGATATGTTTGTAATTTTCGTTTATTGTTTGCCTTTATTTACTTTCCAGTACTAGTTTGAGATGTGGTTTTCAGATTATGTTGATGTTTCTGGATGTTTAATTTTATTGCACTGTGGATTAGTGACTTTTTTATACACTCGAAGTTTTTGCAACATTTTGTAGAAAGTAAAATGAAATAATACTGTTCAACTGCAGTTATCGCCTTAGTTAATTCGCTCGGGTCGTGACACAATAGTCTAAGATGGGTCAAACATCTATGATCAATCTTCTCCGATAACTTTTATATTCCAACATCGTCAAGAACTCCAACAAATAGTTTCAAATAGATCAAACATTCATCGTGAACTTCTTCCAACCTCTTCAACGTTAGCAAATGACATTGCTTATCATATTGTTGTATATTGTTGGTATGAGTCGTTATTTTTATAATACCCTTGGACCATACATCCAATAGAAAACATTAATGAAAAGCTAGTAGTAAACAGAGACCCCATTGAAAAAACTCTATAAGTGACAAATAGGATCTTTACTCATACCCATAAAAATGCATGTCCATAAGGAAGACTCGATGGAAAGTTAGTAGTAGACAAGATCCTTATTGGAAAGACTTCATGAGAGCAAAAGATTTACAATGTCTCCACTACTAAATCTGAAAAGACTACAAATCTTTAAAGTCTTAAGTACATCAAAAATCTCATAATGCTAAAAGTTTTAGAAAGTATAGATACACTAAAAATATTAGAATGCTAAAACCTCAATGTCCATGTGCGTACTATAAATCTCAAGAAGTACAAGATATTCAATATCTCGGAAAATTTAAAAGCCTGAGAAAGTATAATCATATTAAAAACCTAGAAGATTATAAGTCTTTGAAGATACATGTAAATCTAAAAAGCCTCCGAAGTCTAAATAGTCTTAAAAGGTAGAAGTACAACAACAAAAAGCCTTGATCCCACTAAGTGAGGTCAGCTAAATAGTCTTAAAAGATACAAGTAAATTAAAAAATTTCAGAAAACACCAGTCTCAAAAGATATATAATCTTTCTTTATGCAAAGGATATGTGTTGATTTTGATTACTGGTTTCTTAATACAAAAGTTAGGTGGCATAAACCTCAGAAGTGCTCGAATTCACTATATTCTTATTAGAGATAATATCTCAATTACAATATATTAAATTTCTAATGAAGATTTATGTTCTAAAGACA